AAAACACCACCTTCTTCTTCATATTCCAGTTACACTTCTAAATTTTCGGTAATCAATGTTTCCCCAATCCTATTTCATCACTGGACATCTTCTACCATGAAGAAACCTCTTTAGTCACCTCACGACCTAAACAGTATCAGTACCACCACTTCCACTAAGATAGATCTCTTCAAGATTAATTTCCCCTATTTCATATCTCCCAAAGAGCTAAAAAATGAGTTTTAGGATGCTTGCCGAGAAGAAGAAAAAACTTAAATTTAATAGAAAAGCTTATCTCACCGTTCGGGAGAGGGAGAGTGATTCGCTGCGTTTCACTACAGAGAACAGAGCCGAAGTTAATGCCGGATTTCAGTTCTGCCAGAGAACTGTCGGAGTTCGAAACCGCCGGTGAATCCGCGAAACCTACCCGGGAAGACGGTAATTAGTGAAAGATAAAGTTAAAAATGTAAGAGGCTTAATAGGCCCAAATCAATTTATTGAGACTACTATTTAGGCCCATAAGGCCCATATATTGTTATAAAGTCTTTTCATTTAAGACAGACCAATCGTCGTCAATAGAACCGCGGAATTATTTTTCCTTTTCTAATTGAGTCTCTCCGTTCTGATAAATCTCGACAATAAGTTATCGCCGACCACCGTGTTTGGGCAAGACTTGTCGGAGGAATGATAAATTGTTGAATATCAGATTAGGGTTTCTTGAATCACCGTCGGGTATACTTCTGAAGGACTGTTTTTCCGATCTGAGGTACAACGAGTCTTTTTGGAGGCGAAACTTATGGCGTTGAGACAGTAGAGTCTTTGGCTAGACTTGTCGGAGGATTGTTTTACTGATTGAATCTCAGATTAGGGTTTACTTGTATTACAATTCGGGTGAACTTTTGAAGGCCTGTTCTTCCGATTAAGTAGAAAGAGTCCTTTTTGGAGGTGAAAGTTATGGCTGATAAGTACAACGTCGAGGAAGCTGAGGCTTTGGCCAAGAGAGCTTTGGTACAATTCTTTCCCCGGTTTTATACTTGTCTGATTTTTCGTAGCATTGAAAATTTTCTAATTGTTTGCTTCCTTCAGCATTTACCAATTGCACAGGCGACGCCGATCTATGAGCAGCTTTTGTCTCTGTTTCCCACTTCTGTAAGTTTCCTCATGCCTTTGCTGCTGTGTACTTCTGTTTTTTTTGGGGTTAATTGTTCTGGAAAGTTTCCTGTTTTATCAAGTGGGTATCTGATAAATTGTGAGCTCCTCTGTAGGCAAGATATTGGAAGCAATATGTGGAGGCACAAATGGCTGTAAACAATGACGATGCTACGAAACAGATATTTAGTCGTTGCTTGTTGACATGTCTCCAAGTTCCTCTTTGGTATGAGATGCTTTCCTTTTTTAAGTTGTTGATAAGAGTCAATCTAAGATATTGCATTGCTATCTATGTTGAGCATCTTGCTTAGCTACAATGTAATTCTTTCCATCTCCTTAATTCAAACATCTTATTCTCGTAGGCAATCTTACATTCGCTTCATCAGAAAGGTCTACGACAAGAAGGGAGCAGAAGGCCAAGAGGAGACAACAAAGGCTTTTGAGTTTACGCTTAATTATATTGGTATCGCTTCTCTTTGGGAATTTGGCTCTATTACGTTAATTTTGTGTACATGTCCTTCAAATACATGAAAAGTTTTTTGCTTGTGAGTAATGGGAAAAGTTCTGTGCACTCAAGCTATGAGTTGATCAATTTTAAGCTTAATATAGTTTCTATCGATAAAATATTTGCCAACTTTTTTCACCTCACTTTCTTGTAGTTCTTCGTATTGATATTATTGTATATGTAATACTATTGTAAGTTGCTACATTATATTATCCAGTTCATGTTGCTTTCATTAACAGGCATGGAGATAATGATTTTGAGATAAGTGTTGACTGTAAAAGATATGCATGTTTACTATGATTAAGTTGATCGAAGCACCTCAGGTCTCAAATTGAGGTGTTTGAAATGCTTGAAATACTGAAAAGCTCTGTCCAATCCTCCAGCTCTTTTCAAACTTCTTGTTTATTCTTGTAACTGGCATAGATGGTCATTTTTTTACTTTGTTGGTTCGTTGCTCAGTCAAATTTTCATCATATACCGCTGAATACGTTGTTCATTTGACTTGTCCGGACACTTCAATGTGACCATTCAGTTGGATCCTTCTTGAAATAGTTATTTTATCATCTCTATCCATTGTCATGTACTACAATGAAAGTCTGTGATTAGTTTTTCCTTGGCTGATTGTGTGTCAGTCCCATGAGAAATGTTATAGATGGATGCATGTATTAAATGTATTGCTATCCATCAGCAATAACAAGCTCACCCTTACGCATTGCATCCATTAGAGCTCTAGTTTCTCCTTAGCATGCCAACACATAGCATTACTGATGGTCGTTTATTTCGATGTATGAATCACCAGGGACAGACATAGCATCTGGGCCTATATGGACTGAGTACATCACCTTTCTAAAATCTATGCCGGTTCGTTATATCATTCAAACTTTGTCCTTGATACTATTAGTTTATTGTTGCAGAGAAACTAATCACTTCTCTTTCAGGCTCTTAACCCTCAGGAAGATTCACAACGAAAGATTGCACTTCGAAAAGTGTATCAGAGAGCTATATTAACTCCAACTCACCACGTTGAACAACTTTGGAAAGATTATGAAAACTTCGAAAATACTGTTAGCCGTCAATTGGTAAACTTCTATATTACAAATTGTGAATGGTTTTGTTTATTTTAACGAGTTTTTTTTAACATGAGAAGCAGTAACAATCTTCATTTGCTTTGTTTGGTTGATGGACGATCTAATCTATCCTGTGAGCAGGCCAAAGGACTTGTTAATGAGTATCAACCTAAATTTAACAGTGCCAGAGCTGTATATAGGGAGCGCAAAAAGTACATAGAAGAAATTGATCTGAACATGCTTGCTGTACCACCAACAGGATCTTTCAAGGTAAAAAAGCTCTCATCCATTGAACTGCTAAATCTACATTGTCTTTATCTGTATGTATTAAACTGCTACAAACGCAATATAATCATAAATTCACGTCATGAGACCAAGTTTTAAGATAGGATATACATATTGAGCTATAGCTTCTTTTGTTTTTTTGGATTGAGCATAATATTTTCACTTTGGTACTTTACATCGCCTTTTGGTTTTATGCAGGAAGAAGCTCAGTGGGTGGCTTGGAAGAAGTTTTTATCCTTTGAAAAGTAAACCCCAAAAATATCTTCGTAGTTGTTGTCTTGACTTTTCATTCAGTACTTACGTTTTTACATAGCTGCGTAGCCATTTTTCTTTGGGAGTGCCTGGTACCTTGAAGAAAACAAAAGCTAGATATTAATATATTCCAACAGTTGATTGGTCCCTCAGTAAAAAAATTGTGGTGTTCAGTTATATGCCTAATGATGAGATTTTTATATCATTTTCTGTGTCTTATTTTCTGATTAAGATTTAATGATGATATTAGCTAGAAAGCAGGAATGAATGATGATTGGGTCTTAGGCATTTATTTCTGTAACTAGTCCTAAATATAACAAACTTCTACTTCTAATACAATTGTCATTTTCAGAGGAAACCCCCAAAGGATTGACACGGCCTTATCAAATAAGCGGATTATATATGCCTATGAACAGGTATGCAAAGAGTTAATGAGATGTTCTTGCTGAAATCGAGGAGAATGATCTCCAAAATGTGTTTCTTTCTTAATTGACTGATTATTACTCTGGCTTTACAGTGTCTGATGTGTTTATATCACTATCCCGATGTATGGTATGACTACGCTGAGTGGCACATAAAATCTGGTTCCACAGATGCTGCAATCAAAATATTTCAGCGAGCTCTTAAAGCTATTCCTGGTAACTCTAATCTATCCTTTGTTTGACTATTACTCTTTGCTAACCTGCTGGCCTAGAGTTTTATTTATCTTTGATCTACTCTTAAGAAGTCTATTTTCTCTGTTGTTTTTGTGCTGTAAGTCTTTTATATTTCATTAATATCTACATTGTCCACTCTCTTATGTCAGATTCAGAAATGTTGAAATATGCTTATGCTGAGTTGGAGGAATCTCGTGGAGCGATTCAGGTCTTTATTCTTGCAGCTTGCTTCTCATTATTGAGCTTTCTCCATTGTTTTCATAGTCTTTGCTTATAGTTGTATGATTTTGCAGTCAGCAAAGAAATTATATGAAAGCATTTTGGGGGTTAGCACAAACTCTTTGGGACATATACAAGTAAGAGCGCTCAAATTATTTATTATTTATTCATTTTAATACATGTGTACGCAATTTTCTTGGCTACAGAACTTAGGACTGCCAAGATTAGCAAACATATTTACGCTTTCCATAGTTCATGCATCTCGTCTGCTGACTATTGTATCTTTCCACCGTATTCATGATATTTGTTGCTCATATCCATTTATTTCCCACCTATAAGTTTTTTTCACTTTTAGATTGTTGATTTCTCTGGAAACATTCTCATATGATATATTTTTATTTTCTTTCGCAGTTCCTTCGTTTTCTCAGGAGGGCCGAGGGTGTTGAAGCTGCTCGCAAGTACTTTCTCGATGCTAGAAAGTCTCCTAGCTGTACATATCATGTGTATATTGCTTTTGCTACAATGGCCTTTTGTCTTGACAAGAACCCAAAGGTGAATTTTCTTACCCACTACGTGGTCTATGTGCTATTTGGAACTTCTTTTTTGTTTAATCTTGTTGGTATATGAATGAATTGATAATGAAGGAGGCTGTAGTGGTTGTTCAGCCAAGTTCAGAACCCTCTCGTTTTATTTTCCTCATAGTTGCTTAAGTAAACCAGGAGAATTTTATGTAAATGAAGTTAAAATGATTTGATCATTTGAATGAGTGTTTTGGTTATGATGCAATCAAACTCTTCATTGGTTTGATCAGAAGTATATGCATCATACCTTTCTTTTATGTACATACCTCTTTGTCTTTCTCTCTTCTTCTCTTCCAACTGACTGGTTCCATTTCTCAAAACTTTTTTTTACTCTTTGTACAACTAACGTAGAGTCTAATTTCAATCTAAGCTCAGTTTCCCAAAAAAAAAAATGCTGATGTTTGTATGCTTATGCAGGCTGCTCACAATATCTTTGAGGAAGGATTGAAATGCTATATGAGTGAACCCATTTACATCCTTGAGTGAGGATCACTGCAGCCTTACTAAGAGTTCCTTTTTCTTTTTCTTTTTTTCATTTTAAGATATTCTCGAAACTCTTGTTGTTTGAGGTAAATAGTGAAACTTAGGGTCTCTCAAATTAAGTATCCTCAAACTTTTTTCTCACTTTACTAAAACAGAATTTTAACCCTCCAGGTATGCAGATTTCTTGACTAGGTTGAATGATGACAGAAATATCAGAGCTCTATTTGAACGTGCATTAAGCACACTACCAGCTGAAGAATCTGCTGAGGTACGCTGATAGTGATGTTTATTTTCACAGAACTGTTAAAGAAGAGAAGAGACACCACGAAAATAACCAATCTGCTAATGAAATAACCGAGTAAAATCTACATAACTTTTTTCTTGCCTCAACCTTTGCAGGTGTGGAAAAGATTCATTCTATTTGAGCAAACATATGGAGATCTTGCTAGTATCTTAAAGGTAGTCTAACTTATTTGAGTGTTGTCAACATATACTAGGAAAGCTGTGATTTGCAAGGATTTTTTGTAGTTTTTCTTCGGTTGAGTCTGTTACGGTAATAAGTTTGTAGAGTTCCAATACATTGGATTTATGCTTTAGTCTCCCAAAGAAAAACTAAGCTTATCTATCTATTATTTGCTCTTGAGATATTTCTTTACTAATGACAACCTTGTTGTAGGTTGAGCAGAGAAGGAAAGAAGCACTTTCCGGGAAAGGGCAAGAGGGATCTCTTGCTCCAGAGAGTTCACTTCAAGATGTTGTTTCTCGGTACAGTTACATGGATCTTTGGCCATGCACTTCTAAGGAGCTTGATCATTTAGCCAGACAAGAGGTATGTCCCATGCAATCTATTGCATTTAACCCGAATAGCTACTTATGATGCACCTAGTGAGTACTAATTTTACGAATATGTGTTCACTATAGTTGCTTGCGAAGAATATGAATAAGAAAATAGAGAAGACAAATCTACCTCATGGATCTGGAGCTATAGGTCTGTATTTTTAGTTTTCTGGTGTGAATCTATAATGTTGAACTTTGATGATTACTTAAGCAAATTAACTGCCTTTTGTTCTGACAGGTAGTTTAGCCTCTTCCTCAAAAGTTGTTTATCCTGATACATCTCAGATGGTCGTTTACGACCCAACAAAGAAATCAGGTATTTGATTTGCACTTTGCAGCATCATTTGACTGCTCGATGAATGGAATTGTGAACTAACTCTGAACCTTAAATTATTTGACCGTAGAGTTTGGTAGTTCTGCAAACCCAGCATTGAATACCTTCCCAAGTAATGCGACTGCAACTGCAACTCAAGGATCAGCCAGCACATTTGATGAAATACCGAAGACTACACCACCAGCATTGTTAGCGTTTTTAGCCAACTTGCCGATTGTTGACGGTAAACCCTTTTAACCAATTGCGATTTGTATGTATTTGAACCGAGCTCATGAATAAGTTTTCACTAACTGACCAGTTTGTCACTACCCTCTCAACTGCTTCAGGTCCAACACCCAATGTGGATGTTGTTCTGTCAATATGTTTGCAGAGTGACTTACCAACAGTTCAAACTGGTAAGCAGAGTTTTGCTCCTAAAGGCAATGCTCCAGGTCAAAACGATCCCTCAGGTCCAACCCGTGGTGGGTCTCAAAGAGTATCAAGAGACAGAAGAGCTACAAAGAGAAAAGATTCAGATAGTAAGTTATCTTTTCTTATAGTTTATGTTCAAGTATATGTAACTTATGGTTCATGGAAGTATCTCTAACTCTATCTCTATTTCTCTGTTAACAGGGCAAGAAGAAGATGATACTGCACCCATACAAAGCCAGCCTCTACCTACAGACGTTTTCAGACTAAGGCAAATGCGTAAAGCTCGAGGGATCTCAACATCATCACAACAGACACCTACCGGTTCCACATCATATGGTAGTGCCTTCTCCGGTGAGCTGTCCGGTAGCACTGGCTAAAAAAAATCTGATATAGGCAAATTTGTATAAGCCTCTCTTGTTCTTGTAATTTATTTCTCCCAACGACTTCCGTTTACGCAATAAAAATAGGTCTCTTTTATTAAATATAATGTTTTTCAAATCTTCAAGGTTCCTCAAAGGTAGTTTACATTTTGGTTGTAAAGGAATAGTCAAATACTCAACAAACCAAAAAATTCAAATACTCCACACTCTTTCTAAAAAGATCTGAAATTACTGAACCGAATCAGAAGTGCTTCTTACAAGTTCTTTAACATCAGTCAATTCTTTCACCACATTTCTCATGGACGGTCTATTCTCCGGCCTCTTGTCCGTACACCTAAGTGCCAAGTCTGTAACTTGTATTGCTTGTTCCCTAAGCTTCGTATCCAGAAGCTCATCCACAAGCGTTGGATCAACGATTGGACCAGCAGTATCATCGTCCTCGTAGCTGCTCAAGACAGATCTGACCCAGCTCACGATATCAGTCTCCTCCGGGAAAGATCTGTCCACTGCTCTCTTTCCTGTCACCAGCTCGAGTAAAACAACTCCGTAACTATAAACATCTGAATCCTTGCTCCTCACTGTCTTGTACGCATTTTCTGCATTATTGCAAAAGAAAGTTCAGAGAATAAAAAAGCCAAACGGTAAACAAAATATGAAAGTGTTATGTTGAGAAGTGTGTACCTGGTGCGATGTACCCAGTAGTGCCTGTAATGGTGGCCGTTGAAACTGTTGAGTCATCTAGAATCCGAGCCAATCCAAAATCTCCAATGTGAGGCTCCATATCTGAGTCCATGAGTATATTCTCTGGTTTTATGTCACGGTGAATGATCGGTGGATGACAGTCATAATGTAGATATGCCAGCCCGTGTGCGATCCCAAGAGCTATGTTGAACCGTGCAGACCATTCAAGAGCGGTTTCTCCTGGAATACCTCTGTGCAGAACGTCGTGTAAGCTTCCATTGGGCATGTACTGGTATAGCATTAAGCCATCTTCTTTCCTCATCCAAAATCTTTCTAACCGAATGAGATTTCTGTGCCTGACTAGCCCGATTGTCTCGATCTCTCTCTTCATATTTTGGCTTGCGCGTACGTGTTCCGCAAAGATGAGTTTCTTCACGGCGTATTCTTCGCCTGACCCTAAAGTGGCTCTGTAAACAACTCCATGAGCTCCTCTTCCAATGATGTACTTGTCATCTAGATTCTCAGTGGCTGCAAGAACTCTGTTCAGCAACAAGGACAGGCCTTCTTCCTCTTCGTTGAGGACATGAGCATCTTCTGTCTTGGCTTCTCTTTTGTAGCGGAGG